ACCCGATGGGACTTCTTCTGATTCCCAGACGCTGCCTAGTACCTCAGTTAATCCAGACAGTAAGCTGTCTCCACCGTACTTAAATACCTCTGGAGTCATTCCATCAGGTCCCGCTGCTTTGCCTAGTTTCAGATTGGTGACAGCTTTAGTAACCTCAGTTAGGGACGGAGGACCTGTGTCTATATCCCATTCAGGGAGGTGTTGGATGCTCGGAAGGTTGAGCGTGGCTGTGGGCAAATTAAACTGCTCCTCATAATGCTCTTTCCAACGATCCAGTCGTCTATCCTGGGAGCTAATTATAGTGCCATTTTTTTCCGAGATTGTCTCACTAATGATTTGTCTTCTCCCACCCGTTTCCCTGATGAGTCTAAAGAGTTGCCTAGAGTTGCCGATCCTCGAAGCTTTCTCCATCTCTTTGGCTTTTGTCGCCCACCACTGTTCACGGTCCTTGCGGAGACTTTTCGTAAGTTTCCTCTTGTGCAGCTTTCGCTCCTCATTGAATTCGGAGCTCGCCGGAATAAGTCTTCTAGCATCTATCAGTTCGGATGAGGCGGTGGAGATCCAGTGGTTTTTACTCACCTTTGGGTTTACCTTATTCACAGCTTTTACAGCTGTATCTATGGCTGCCTGGATATTTTTCCAAGCTTCTTCAGGGTGAGCACAGCTGTCGAACACAGATATGTGTTTAGCTAGTTCTTCCTCAAATACGGATTTAGTTTCCTGATCGAGCTGGGGACGTGATGGTTTTACCGCCAGCTGTTTCCTACGTCCGTTCAGTCGTAAGCACACCCGAGCGCGGACCAGTGCATGGTCGGTATCTACACACGTGTTCCAGAAGGAGCGACAATCTCCTACCGACCCACGCCAACGATAGCTTATTGCTATGTGGTCTATTTGTGTCCAGCGTTGGTTTGATGAAGGGGGTCTCCAAGTCAAACAGTGTCTCTCCTTGTGTTTGAAGTTAGTGCTTACAAGAAACAAATGATTATCAGAACAGAACTGTAGGAGACGGTCACCGTTGTCGGTTCGCTGGCACGGAACTCCATAGGTGCCACCGACATCCTTCTCAGATTGACACAATTTCCCTACTTGAGCATTAAAGTCACCAGCTAGAACGACTATGTCTGAGCGTTTAGCCTTTCTCACCAAACTAGACAGCTTTTGGTAGAACTCATCCTTCGTTTCATCTGAACTGCAGTCAGTGGGGGCGTAGGCGGAGATTACGAAAAGGCATCGGCGAGTAGTGCAGTCCTTCCTCCTTCTTACTGATCCGTTCAGACGGACAGCACACATTCGGCTATCTACCGGGATCCAGTCAAGCAATGTCTTTTCTGCCCTAGTACTCAAAGCTATCCCTACGCCAGCTAATCCTCGTGAACTAGCTGTGGCATCTCCTGACACCCTTAGATGATTCAACCTGTTGGCCAGGTGGGGTTAGGTGAATAACCACACTTGGGTCTTGTATGCGTGTTTCTGAAACACAATATACATCAATGGCTCGGGATGCCAGGGTCTTGGCTAGTGATGCTTGTTGTCCTATTTGGCAAAGTGTCCTAACATTAAGAGCTCCTATATGAAATTGGTGGCGCGGCTTTAAGAGGCTGTCGGTGGTGGTTTTTTGGCTTCCATCGTTTTTAGTGGACGCTGAGTGGAGAGCTATCAAGTCGAGGAGTTGCATCAGTGGAAGGAAGGCAAGATGATAGAGATGAAGATGAAAACAAAGATGAGTGAGTAATAGAGAGGTTTCGCGTGCGTTTCGGATTGTGAGGGCGATTGTTACTTCCCGGCTGCCCACACCGTGGAAGTTGGTTGCGTGACCGCAGAGCCCAGGGGACAACTGCTTGAGGCCGGTCACACGCGGCCTGTTTTTGTTTGTTCTTTTTGTTTTGTGTGCCTCAGTAGCATATTTATCACTCCTCCCTGTGACACGGCAGCAGGAAGCGCGGTCGTTGTTAATCCGGGCCACGGCCGATCCGGCATGAAATTTTGTATTTATCATCATGTTGGATTGGGTAGCTGCTTTTTGTTTAACCGCTATCCAAACAACCTGCCTGGCATGGTAGGACCTCAAGAGACATAAGTCTCAGCCAGTATAGCTTGAATAGATCATTGCGGTACTCAAGCCCGACCACCACATCAAGGTAGCAGCTTTCGGTCGGGTAAGGTAAGTCGTAATGTGCAGTTTTTGGTGTCAATCTTTCCTATTACCCCCTCTTCAGAGTAGAGAGACAGCATAGCTGGCATGCTGATTATCTGAGGGAAACACCTGACTGCTGCTACATCCTCGTTCCGTAGAGGGACGACTTTTCCCGCAAACCCCCAACAGTGTTCAAAAGAATCTCACACTATGCCAGTAACTGCTCTTAGTCTAACTGCTATCCTAACAATCTTCCTGGTATGATAGGACTTGCAGGAACATTTGTTCCAGTTAGTGTAGCTGGTTGGGTCACTGTCATATGCAAGCCCGTCTACCACGTCAAGGCAGCAGATATCGGTCGGGCCTCCCAATGGTGGAAAGAAGGTACAATTACTTGAGAATTCTTCCCTCTTATACAATATTAATCGAGGGAAGAATATTTTGATAGAAGTTGAAGAAATCACACTAACTTTAGCACTCGTCTAAATTATGAACTTGAAAAAGGAATAAACAGTTGCTATCACATAGATTCGCTTCCAATCCCTACTGTACATCAACAACCAAAATCGAGGCGACTTCACTTTAGGAAAATCCGTGAAACAAATGTTTCATATACAGCGCACTATATATATACTGACAAGAAGTTTTATGTAGACAATTGTTGCCGCAGTACACAGAGATCATGATTATCGGGGTGACAGACTAAGTTACAAAGAAGACAAATGGGAATCTGCGTGAAACAATTCAGGAAGTATAATAGGATGACAAAAGAAGCAGAATACGAATAACTTGTGAAAACTGAGGTTTCGATATAAGGTTTCCATAATCACACTTTACCTATTTCCAGTGTATTCTTGGTGTCAATCAATAAATGAACGCGACGTCGTTTCTGAAAGAACTGCAAGCTGTCCCTGAGATGGTTTGTGTGTACGACCAGAAATCGAAGCCAGCCGTACTAGGGTCCGTTTCAAGAAAAGCTTCCTACAACAGTTCATGTGCTGCTAGCGCACGAGCATTGTCGAGCGGCTGGTTTCAGTGTCTTTCTGTCCATTAGACATGCAGATTTTACATCAGTAGTAAATGATATAAACAGGTCTGAACATTCACCCGCCTTTAGATTCAGCTGTCGTCAGATTAGGCGACAAAATACAAAAATATTCAGTTGCCAGAATGATACGGAAACCATAATACGCTCCCATGAACTTCAACATTAGAGCGAGCAAGCTGATTGAAAAAAATAAATTACTGCAAGCCTCAACAGTTCCATGAATCTAGTTTATCGGCTAAGTCTGTGTTATATGAGACTGTTGTCTAACCTGCAAGCCTACCAAGCATAGTATTTGTTGTCAATTCAGCGACTTTGTTTTGGAGATAAACACCGCCTCCGATTTCACTCTTTCTGCAGATAACCACTACTCGAATTGTATTGCTACATATGTAGTTTCCACGGTATTTTCTTGAAAACATTTCATTACCCTCTACTTCTGTTGCGCAATTGATGCCATTTCAATGAATAAATAAAGCGGTTAACAACACCATTGAACATTACTGCTAACGTATGTCTACTGTATCGTTTCCTGAAAACTTGAAGTTACCGATAAACCTGCTAGGTTTCTGACAGCTTCCTGCACCTTAACCACAAGTGCTGTAGTCCCATACAAGTCAGGATATGCCAACTTATATGAGGAATTCAAGATTCAAACATGACAGTGAATTTTACGATACAATCTCAATGACAAGTTGCGTTCTGATGCTTGCTCGTTGAAGTAATGTACAAGTAAGCTAACAAATTCATCGCATTTTTATCTACATGAGATTTCTGGCCTGTTTATAGGTTTGAAACTCGACTTGGTAAAGCGGTATAAACGGTTATGATTTTCTAATATCTCCCCCTCCACACATACACGCACACAATTTTGTTTACAGGTGTATTTGTATGTAAATATGCAACTATATAAACGAAATGAAGTCTGCTATTGTTGATAACAAACACAAGGATATCACAACTTCAAGCAAACTTGATTAATTATAAATATATAATATCATCTGTACATCCGGGGTAAAATTAGTTATCATGACAAAGTTAAAAACAACAGTGCAGTGTGCATACTTACAAAAATTAGACATTCAATAGTCAGTGAATTTTTTTAAAGAAAATGCAAAGTCATCAAGATACAATTAAAAATACTAGGGTAGAAATTTTTTTTGAATTTGACATTAAATACAGATATTTGAAAAATACAGGAAAATAGAGTGCTTAGTTTATTCGCCTTATAATCTATATTACCTATATTCACAGTAGAAACAATAACTCCGAACCAGATATTGGTTGGGAGAATGCATAAGCCCTAATCCCTGTCTCCTTAAATATTGATGGTTGGTTACTTATTATTATGATTACCCCTCCCCCAAGTATATAGGCCTTAATTTTATCCTTACAACAAAAGTATGTGAATACTTGATGCTTGAAAACTTTAATCCCCTACCCTACCCCAACTAAACCTAATTATCCCCGAGTCCTAATCCCCTATCTGAGCACCCAAAAACTACTAAGTTCCACTGAAGTTAAAAGTAAAAAAAAATCAAGAGAAAGAAATAATCAAAGATAAATAGGTAAGTATAAAGTAATCTAAAAGCATGAAAATTAGGTATTTCAAAATAAAGAAAACCACAGAAATCAAATTACTTCAAAAAAAAGTATTGAAAGTCAAAAACATTTGAAGTACTACAACAGTCTACGTCGAGCTACTCGACTACATATCAAATAATTAATGATCATTCAAGAAAATTATAGGTGCGAATGCAAAATAAAAGAAATAAACCACACCAATAGTAAATGACGATATATATCCACAGTGTACGATCAGAAGGGAAAAATGCGCTGTTGTAGAAAATATGCTTCCAGAACAATCTGAAAGACAAACGCAAACAAAAAATTATATAATTCTGAATAGTCTACATTCACATTATGTAACAAAAATTAAAGACTACCAAAGACTAAATTAAAGACTAACCACCACTTTTAATCGCATCTCATTTCTATAAATGACCCGATAGAGAATTCCTAACAGTCATAACGGCTTAGCATTTGAACAGGTTCATTGAACAGCCTCCTGCCATATTTATTCCTATCTGCTTATTTGTGGTAGACTGAAACTCATTCTATCAAACCGAAAAAATATTCTAGTGTTGGTTTCCAGGCATTTGATTTGACTGGTTACAGGACTTCATCATGAGCTGACATCGGTTAGAGAATCATTCGAAAACCTGACAGTACAAGACAGCTGTTGTGGCCAGTGGGGTACAGCACGTCGGGTGCGAGGATAGGTACTCACCAATGACATCGACTGGAGGTGGCGCTACATGGTGAGTTGACAGAATTCATAGGTCACTGGATTGGATGGTCTCAGTGCCTTAATGGTCTACGAGCTCATTCTGTAACCGGAAAGTCCTGGTTTTGAAACACGATAGACGCGTACTGTTAAAAAGTCCAAAACTAGGACGAAACAGCTGCCCAGTACTCACAGGTCTTCTAATGGCTCTCTAAGAGATGTCAGTTCATAACAACCTCTAACTAAAAAACATTCTGTCCGCTTAACACAGCTGCTAAATCTACACACAAGATGCTGAACTCACAACAGGTACACTACTTATATCTAACTGGTTCAAAGAAAAGGTTATCTTTTTACCGTACAGGTGAATAGGTGAATTTCATAGAAAGTTTGAGGATTGTCATATGATATACGAGAAAAGAAATCTTTCAGCAAGATATTCTGGTAGACTGAATTAAGTCAAAAACCATAATGACAATGACTTTTTAAGAAAGTGTTAGTATTCTACATGAGGTATTTAAGGAAGTTGAAACACATCTCACTGAAGACCGGCAGCATTTCAGCTGAATTTACGTTTTACATCCATTTCGACTGAGATTTTCTTTATCCTTGTTTGGTCAAGTCTTTTTTTCCCTATCTAAAAGCATATTATGAGTTCAAGTTAGATTAACATTTCCTTTACGACAATCGGAACCGTTTAGCACTTTAACATATTAATATCATCAAAGGTTAAAACAAAGACATGTTTATGAGTACATTTCACTGATCAATTTTGTTATCTTTCTTAACTCTTGCTGTGCTTTATTATTTTTTGAAACATGTTTCAACATTTGTTACAGCTTAACTGGTTCTTTGTTTTACCGACAATAACAACTGATGGAAACACTGGAGATTAACACTAGTGTCACGTGTCTAGTCCCCGATGGTGATGACTGAATTCCACAAGTCGAATTAATACAGACAGTCACCAAGATAAGAGATTTATCAATCACATTGTAGAAAGGGGTTCGTGAATAACCAAAATGAACAAGTTTAAGAACAAACGCTACGCTTATCCAGTTTAGTATGTGGATGAACACACTTTTGTAAAACAGGGTTTATGTTGACAATTAACATGACGTACCATAGTATGTGTAGTGGTTGAATTTGTTGTCGGAAATATTGGATGCCGAATACAAAACAGCTGATCACATACTCGAGGAAAAACAACGCATAGACCAATTGCGAAAACATTGAATCGACGTGTAAGTGGGTAGGCACAAAACAAGAAGTGGGACCAAAACATGCAAATAGTTGAAATTATGATAGTTTCATAGATTGTACTGCAGAGACAATCGTTCACGCAACATTGGAGGGCATTGATTCCAGAATTTATTCCAGTCATCCTCTCCAACTTGAGACTTAAAACCGTGTAAAATCTGAGGTAGAGATGAAATCAATAAATAAATGGTGGGCATTAATGTAATAACGAATGACTTGTCAGTTAAATGACTAGAACCAAGATAAACGTAATAATCTGACATCCAGTATTAAACACACAAAAAACGTTTGCAACAGTGTCTCAAGAAAATTCCCTTCAAATGAACTTATGAAAAAAGATATGTAGTTAAAAATTAACTTATGAACTACAATAAATTAATTGCCCGACTTCTCATCACTTTTCTTTTCTAAAACGAAAAATGCAATCCCTTATATATACTCTAAGCTCTAGCAACACTTCCATTGCCAGTAGACTATTAAATATAAACAATGAATTAATTTCCAGTCGGAGGGAAGTGTCAAAGAAACTTTAGGCAATGGTGAATATTATATTAGATAAAGCAATAAGAAGACGTAATTTATCTGAATCGTGTATTGTATTTTCGCAACGCATTTCGAACAATCTGATCACACACGGACTTGTCATAGGAATATATTTGAAATTAATAGAGGTAAGAGGTGAGAAAAATAGACTTAGGTCAAGTTAAAAGGACATATTCAAGGTCAAAATAACAATGAAGACCACTAAACCAAATAGCAGAGGTAATAGTACATCTGCTATGGTATCAAAACAAAATTTACCAAGGAAGGTTTAATATGATGACAAATTGTTTTCCAACACATAAAGGTGGCATGAACTTTCTAATTGCTAGGGCTTCTACAAACCTTAGGATACGCCCCAAACACGTTTTATAGATAGGTTTAAAAGATCTGTTAACATCAATTTTATGACCTGTCTCTATAATATGTTTCGCAATAGAAGAGCTAGGTCTCCTGTTCTCACCGTTAATAGGTTCTGATGATTCCATTTGTTTCTGAAGCCATTTTGGAATATGCTCTGAAGCCCAAAATAGCTCCAGAAACAAATGGTCTTCATCGTTATTTTGACCTTGAATATGTCCTTTTAACTTGACCTAAGTGGTCTATTTTCTCACCTCTTACCTCTTTATTAATTTCAAATATATTCCTATGACAAGCCCGTGTGTGATCAGATTGTTCGAAAGTTTTGAACATTATATTATAACAACAGCAAAGGAAATCAAATTTCGGAAGATAATAATATGATTTCATATAGAGAAGTATCTTCTGTACTCGTGCCGTACATAAGCAGAATGATGAATGAATTCACAAAACAAACAACATATTTATTCAAAATTCCGATAAAAAATAGATGATTCTACAGCATATATTATTGTTACACTCACGGCGTGAAAGCGCTCCTTTAAATCTTCTTTTGGATTATTCCATGAAGCAACTGAATCACAGAAGAACAAGAAATCATTGAGAACTCCGTTTGGATTAAGTGTAATTAGATTGCAAATACCACGAAATGCGCTGTCCTTTTCTTCATTATCTCGTATATTGCGCAAGAACAGACACCTACAACAACAGATGCAAACATAAGTGGATATAAAGATAGATGAGATATTATCAATGAAACTGAACTGGAAGTACACTTTCCCGACTATATAACTGATTATTACTGTGAATGAAAATTAATCCAGGCAGTTAAATAACAAAATCCTTTAATTCATATGGAGAAAAAAGCAAACAAATCATCACCACAGAATACAAAATTAGGATAAATAAAAATGTAAATTACTGTGTTGAAGCATTATTGTTAACATAACAGACAATCAGGATTTCATTATGAACTGATATCGGTTTGACGACCAATGGAAAACCTGGGAGTACTGGACAGCTGTTCGTCTTAAATACTCGATGACATTCACTAGTAGTCGCGTCATATCATGAATTGGTAAAACTTAGGGTTCATGGACCGTTGGGCCTAGTGGCCCCCAGTGGTTCAGTAGTCTACGAGCTATCTCGCTCAGTAACCAGTTGATCATTGGTTCAAACCCTAATGGTGGGGGCGCACTGCGAAGAATCCCAAAGTAGGATGAAACCACTGTCCAGTACTCCCAGGTTTGTCAACGGTCCCCGAACTATACGGATCAGAGATTGCACTGAGCGTCATAAAAAGCATCTCAAACAAACTACAGACCCCCATTAACAGTTGTCTTCGCTCAATACTCAAAATCAGATGGCCAGAAAACAACAGTCACAGGGAGGGATCTCTGGAAGCGAACCAACACCGCAAGAACCGATTGCGAAACAAATAGGCAGGAAGAAATGAAGATGGATTGGCCATACTCTGAGGAAACAAACTATCAAGTGACATCACTAGACCAGCCATTGCTCGAGTGGAACCCCCGAGTGTGAAGCAACGAGTTGTTCGTCGGTGCGTGGGTGTCGTGGAGGAGGTCGTGTGAAGAGGAGATGAAAGCATGTGGGCAGACTTGGAGCGGAGTGAAAAAGTTGGCAGGAAACAGAAGGCAATGAAGACGCGCAGCTGAAGCCTTATGTTCCTCTAGGAATTAAAGGCTATAATAATATAATAAATAATAATCTAACCGATGTCAGTAAGTCAAATCCCTGCAAACCAACACTGGAATAAAAAAGGGAATGTTTATTCATTATGCCCTATATTTGTCATAAAGAATTCTTCGAAATAAGGATACTCTACATGGGGACTAGATCAATTTGTAATTACTGAACAGAATGCAAACTTCACTGCAGTAACCCCAGGAGCATATTCTGACATTTGCTAGCTTGTTCCATATGACAGTTTAAACTATACTTAGCATACAACTCTAATCGATCAACATCTGGGAAAGCAACCTGTACTTTATAAGACAGTAAGACATAATTTGCATATTCGAAATATAATATTCTAAATTATCACGGACATCCTTCAGAGCTGAGTTTGCTCAAAATGTTATCGGTGGTTAAGTTAACGAGTTGTTATGAAATTGGGGAATCCTATGTAAGGTCCCACTGCATCTTGGATGGGGGCGAACAGTGATTTAATTTTCCGACTTTATCTCAGGCATTTTTACAAGACTACCATTGCCTCAGACTTACTGAGGGCATGCTTACTTCTCCAGCTTGTGAATATTTCCGGATGAATCTGATGCTCCCAGTCTACACAAAGGCTCCAGCTATAAGGCCATTTGATAATTAAATAAATTATCTTTGGCTTCATACATATGAAACTTACACAGATTACTATACTTACTACTCGACGAAAAAACTGTCAGGAAAATGTTCGATACACTCATGGGACAGACAAAAAATTCAGTTATTACACCTAAGAATGCATTGAGGAAATTACACTCTTTCGAATGAAATATGGTGAAAGCTGTAGTCAAGCATCCGACAACCAGATGAAAAGACGAAGTGTAACACACCACCTTAGCCCTTGGAAAGAATTTACACGTTTATTATGCGCAGTTTATCTTTTCACGAAAATAAGAGACTAGAAAAACAGTAGTTGTCTAGAAATCTATATCCCAAGGGGGGGGGGGGAAACCATCATGAACATGACTTCGAAGACCAATAATTCATTTGAGATGTTGAGTCTTAAATCGAAAAATCAATTTTTATTCTATGAATGTAGGAAGCTCATTATCAGTCGAATAATTGACAACCACAAGTTAGTTCCAGCATATATTGAATTAAGAAATATCTGCTTACCAGGGACGAATGAAGCTTGCTAAGTGAGGAGCCAATTCATTCGGACAAACGTAACCAAGGCGTCCAATAGTTATGGCTTAAAGTTAAATAAAAAGAATTTTGAAATCATTAAGTATTTCGATTATTTTCAAGTGATTTTATTTTCCACGTAAACAGATATTGTATCTATGTAATTTTATGGCAATAAAGAGCTTTAAAAGAAAGGTCATTGGTAAGAAATATTCACGAAAACAGAAAACTTTTCAATCTAAATTATTAAGACACGCCACACTATTTGAGTGAGGAAGACCGAAGATTACAATGTACAAATTTTTTTTATATTTTTGATTATAGCTTGATTCCACACCGTATTTTTTGGTACAAGTATGGAATATTCAGCACGTGATATCGGTAGCCCAAATTTTGTAGGCCGACCATAGATAACAGGTGTGCGTCGGCAGGTGATCGAACCTCGGACCATGTGCATGGTTGGCGAGAGTCCTAACCACTATGCCACCGACGCACAAAATGCACCAGAATTTCTATCGCTGAAAAAATGAGTTGCAATGAATACGTATTAACAAGTGTACATGATCAAAATATGACGTACACTCCACTTAGTTTAGTAGGGTTTCCCAATACTACAATTTTACCAAAATCTCGGAAACTACTTCGCTTCTAATTCGGAGTTTGGAATTCTTAATCGAACAAGCTGCAGCATCGATAAAAGTGCACATCATCTCACAAACATACAATGGTAGTGGGAATAATGAGTCCCGGAGTTAACATCTGCTTAGTTGATTCTTTAGTTTCTCTTAGCAATAACTGCTCCATTCATACTGGACACAAAAACATACACGCACAGAATGTCAACTAATGAGAGAAGAAAAATATTTACATGAATGTCCTCATAGAACAATGACGAGAGGTACGAACCTATGCTTATTTACTATATCGGAAACCAAGCATATTAGTCAGACAAAGAAATAATATAATAAGTCAAAGATTTACTATACAGAAGTAAACACTATTATTATTCAGGCTACATTGGTACACACACCTACAAAGTTTTAACCAATGATAGTGGCTTGGTGTAGAAGTTAGGTGTCACAGCAACAATACTAATGACTCCCACAATAATAAAAATAAAACCACAAATAGTTAATGCCAGCGGCGGAAAAATAATGAAGAACACCGAACTAATTGTGCAATATTCATGTGGGAAAGTAATAATAAACTGTAGACTAAAACTTAGCATAACTAGATTACAGGGTAAGTGGTTACAATGTGAATAATATACGGAAGGAGGACCACTAAATCCTCAAACATGATCGAAAAACAGTAAATGAGAGAACAAAATAAGTGTTGGACTGGACTACGTTGTTTATATTTCAACCGATCTAAAATATGGATGCAACCGATTTTCTCGTATCTGAAAAACTGAATTCCAAGTAACTTCATCGATTTGAACTGATGCAATCTGGCACAAGCTTCTACAATGATTATTCAGTTGAGTTCGGTAAGTAATGAAGTATGATATGACAGACAGCTTTAAGACAGAAACTAATGATTTTCATGGACAGACAGATATGGTCATGATGGTCGCATAACAATTTCGACGTGCAGTAACTAACTACAAGCTTCGTTACCGATAATGCTGTGGAATTAGAGAAGAGAAGCTATTTACTGCTTGTCATAATACATGGTGAACTTGACAAAATAAATTACATATAAATTCAAATCAAAAACACAACATTCACCTCTCGAGGCAAATTTGAACAAATTTGAAGAAAAAAATTACAAATTCACAACGTACCGGTATTTTCGTGCAACGTTTTGGGTGTACTTTGACGATTAATAATCTCTATCAGTGGATGAATGAACATAGGAGCATAAGGTTGCATGTCGTCACCTAGAAAATGAAACCAATTATTTGACAATCATTATAACAAAACCATATTATGGAAAGAAAACTAAGGGCCAAATAGCGAATTGTAGCCGTCTATTGTAACTGCTTCGACGTATTGTAACAGTTAGAAGCACACCAAACGAAACCGTATAGTTGCACGATAATGGTTAGGATTATACATATACAGCAGTCACTTCAAGCTGTGAGTTTTCCACATCACAATTGACCGAGTAGGTTTGAAAGATGATAAACAAATTTCTCAGGATTTTCGGGAAGACTACAGAATGACTGACCTACGCGATGCTATTGGAAAGAGTTTTCAAAAATGTTTCACTAGTTTCCGATTCAATGTTATGCATGAAGTTGCGAAACTTCATTTTGATTACTAAATTCAGTTATTGAACCAACTTTCCAAAGCTACTGGGGCTTCCGTTAATTTTGAGATATGTTATTTGGAACATTCAATTTGAGATTCTGTAAAGCGAGAATCTTAAAAGGTGGCAATCTACATGAACGAAAACTTCTTTGTTCTGAATGCTCAAATCGACGTTGAAAGGACAAATATTAGTTGCTCATATTTTCCCATAACTAATACTCAATAGTTTGTTTATTCTGCAGACTCATTTCGAATGAAATGAATTTTAAGCACATTTGCGAAATTTAAAAGCTATAAACCTGATTTGACTAATGAAATATACTCACACAGCCCACTTTACATGTAAACTAACTACACTCGATGTGTGTCGGTGGCACAGCGGTTAGTATGCTCGCCGACCATCCACATGGTCCGGGGTTCGGGCACCGGCCGACGCACTCCTTTGCCTCACTTAACCAGTAATAAGACTGGTAAAGTGGTAAAGCCTCCAGCTTGAAGTTCTATGTTCCACTGGTAACGTGAAGGAAATTTTTTTTAAACTACACTCGGTGAAGACTAAAAACAATTTTCAATAATAGCATTTACTTACCTAATTTAATACAAATTTCACCGATAGCCCAAATTGCATTATTACTAACAGATATATGTTCCGAACTTAGGTTATTAGCAAGAATTGTCATAAACTGACTAATTTGTGGTTGGATGTAGGCGAAACATGCCTTTGTCAAATCTCCCAGAAGGGCAAAACTGCTCTGGCGGACATCAGGTTGAGCATCTTGAGCTGCTTCACAGAGCAATTTCACCAGTGTACTGCCCGATACCAAATGCTCCATTTGTGACCCAAGGCCCTCCATTAGCCCACTCAACAGATCTAAAGATATTACCATAAAATCTTTGTCTGGTGGTTCATAAACATCAGGTTGTTGAGCATGAAGCTATAATACATTGGAAAGGTGTGTAATGAAACTACCCGAAAAAACCAACAGGAAAGTACAACCGAACAAATATCTCGAAAATACTTAGTTCCACAATCGTATTTATTAGTGTTATTAGTAAAAAACGACCAAGATTACCAAAATTAGTTTCAAAATTTGTTTTAAGAAGCTAAACCAAGTAGTCGAGATATATACACTGCTACACAAAAAACTGTAAGCAGTCCTTACATTGATCCAAGAACTTTCGCGTTATATAAACAACAACGAGTATGGAGATTAATAGTTCTAAAAATTCATCGGTTGCACTGCAGCATGGTCCACAAACTTGAATTCACTGCTTTAAATGATAGTAAGAATTTACCTGAAGTACAAGTGCATTTTAACCAGGTCACTCAGTCAGTTTTCAACAAAGAACTTTGTACCGATGAGCAGCAGTTCAAGTATCCACACTCCCTCCTTGTAACACACAAATCAAGAAAAGAAAGTACAGGAAATGCAAAATAGAGACAGATATTAGGGATATGAGACAAAAGGAATAGAAATAACCAAGAGCAGTAAAGTTTCATTAGACATTATAAGTCACAAGAAGTGGATGAATCTGCGCTAGCCATTGAGAACGCCTTTGAGCCACATCACCGATTGTTTCCCGTCACTGATATTTTACATCCCGAGGACACCAACCAGTTAGAAAGTCTACACCTCCCTACGTGGCTGACTTAAGGTAACTATTGTGGATTTCATTGACTGGTGCTATGTTTCAGTTTCACCACCACTGGCTCTTTCCCAACTTGACCAATCCTATATCAGGTTAGCTAACGTTTCCCATCGAGGAAGGCAATGAATTCCTAGGCATACGTAACACATGTCCTAGCCCCATCTCACTCGATGTAGCTTCACAGCCTCATCGATTGATTTTTCCTCCCCTCCTCACCTAACATTCGACCGATACCTAACCTCAATATTCCTCACCTTGTTATACCACTTCACACGAGAGATAGAACGGAGGCGCCTGCGATCAAACACAGCTAGTCAGGCTTTTCATGTCTTCTACTTCCAATGGCCAGGTCTGTTGATAAGTACACATGTCCTTTGGCCGACAGTCAGTCGGATATCACGTCTACGCCAGAGACGGCGTAAACCGACATATGCGAAACTATCTTTCTGTATCCATGCTGAGATTTTCTCAGAGATCAACCCGCTGGCGTTGAATGATGCAACTTCTCAAATAAGTGAAGTGGTCAACACGCTCCACAAACCACTTCACTACCCATTTCTAAGCCATAAGTCAACGTAGTCCAGACTAGTCCTGTACCATCATATTACACTTGAAAGCTTGAGCGAATCTCACGCCAAACATTCGAAGACGGTTGCTCTTCAAGGTTGTGCAGAAGACTCAGTACTTTCTCAGCGTCCTCAAGTAGGTGGAAGGACTATATCATCCTCATGCATATTCCAAGTCAACGAAATTATTCCCTGATGGTAACAAGTCAATTCCCCAGTCGCTGAAGTCACTTAGAGTTAAGTCCATTAGTAGAAATAGGCATCCCTGACGGACACCACTAGTTGCCACCACTTCAGGCGACAACTCGCCGTAAGCCCTCACCTGACTGACTGCATCAGTTCGAGTAGAAGGAGTACTTTGATCAGTCAAATGTATTTTCTCGACATTCTTTTCACAGCCAAACATCAACAGAGTACCTCTCGGTTGACAGGATCGAGTGGTGCATTGAGATCAAAATATATTTGACAACCGTTGGACGCCGACGGTAAGTAATCTTATGTTTCAGAACCTGTCGAAGGATGAAGATATGATCAATACACCCTCTTCCTGCTCTAAAGCCTGCCTACTTCTCTCGTATTTGTTCCTCTCATGCACCAATTAGTCTACGCATGATTATTGAGCCTACAACTTTAGATACCACCACATTAGTCAGGCTAATCCCTCTGTGATTATCACAGGAAGACTTGTCTCCCATTTTGTGAATCGGTATAACCAATGACTTATACCAACCCGACGGGACTTCCTCTGATTCCCAGACGCTGCCTAATACTCCAGTTAACACAGACAGTAGACTATCTCCACCGTACTTAAATACCTCTGGTTGTCCTTCCATTACATTCTGCTGTTTCGCCTCGTTTCAGATTAGTGACAGCCTTGGTAATCTCAGTTAGGGACAGAGGACCTGTGTCTATATCCCATATTCAGGGAGGTGTTGGATGTTCGGTAAGTTGACTGTAGCTGCAGGCCAGTTAAACTGCTCCTCAAATTAATCCTTCCAACGTCCGATTCGTCTATCTTGAGACATAATTACGGTTTCATTTTTCTCACAGATTGTTCCACTCATCGTTTGCCCATTACCATCTATCTCCCTGATGAGTAAGTATAAATAGTTGTCTGATGTTACCAAACGTCATCTCTCCTGGGAGATAATCATGGTGTCATCTTCCTCACATATTGTCTCACTTATCATCTGACATTTACCACCTGTTTCCTTGATAAGCTTAAATAGTTGTCTGATGTTACCAAACGCCGATGCCTTTTCCATCTTTTTCGATTTCGTCACCCACCACTGTTCATCGTCGTTGCGAAGACTTCTTGTTAGTTTTCGTTTGAGTAGCTTTCGCTCCTCATCATAATCGGAGCTCAACGGAATCAGTCTTCTTGCGTCAATCACTTCGGATGAGGCGGTAGAGATCCAATGCCTCTTACTAACTTCATGTTTTAGGTCATTAACAGCTTTCACAGCTGTGTCTACAGCTAACTGGATGTTGTTGCAGGCTTCTCAAGGAGGAGTCCTGCTGTCGACCTCAAATACTCCTTTCACTAGTTCTCCTTTGAATAGGGACTCAGTGTCTCCACCTAGTTGGAAACGTAAGTGTTTCGCTGCCATCAATTTCTTATGTTCGTTCACTCGTAGGCATAAACGTGCGCCAACCACAGCGTGATGAGTGTCTACGCACGTGTTCCAGAAGGAACGGCAATCTTCTACGGACCCTCGCCAACCATACCTTATCACTATGTGGCTCATCTGAGTCAAGTGTTATTGATATAAGTATAAAACTTGGGCGCCGTGGGTACAGAATAACTCCATTATGGATAAGATTTTATTTTGATAAATCACAGTGTTGAACAGTAATATTAACTGAGTCCATTGTTGATTTGGTGATGGAGGTCGCCAGGTTACATAACGTCTCTCTTTGTATCTAAAGTTAGTGTTGACTAGAAACAGATGATTATCTGAGTGAGACCGTAGAAGACAATCACCGCTGTCGGTTCGTCGTCAGGGAACTCCATACGTCGTACCACCTACATACTTCTCAATCTGGCACAACTTTCCTACTTCGCCATTCAAGTCACCTGCTGAAACAACTATATCTGAACGTTTTGCTTTTTGCAACCAATTAGACAGTTTCAGGTAGAAGTCATCCTTTAGTTCATCCGAACTGCAGTCTGATGGGGCGTAAGCGGAGACTACGAAAAGACAACGACGGGTAGCGCCATCTTTCCTTCTTTTAACGGACCCATTCAGAAGGACCGCACATATACGACTATCTACTGAGATCCAGTCAAGAAGTGATTCTCCCGCCCTGACACTCGGTGCTATCCATACACCTGCGAGTCCTCGAGAACTAACTGAGGAGTCTCCTGACACTCATAAAGTGAATTTTGCAGATTCACATTGTTGGCCGAATGAGGTTAAGTAAATGACCAAACTCGGGTCTTGTATGCGTGTATCCAAAACACAACATACATCCATGGTTCGAGATTCCAGTTGTCCAATACGGCAGAGGGCCGCATTATGAAGTTGGAGACGTGGCTTTAGCAGGCTGTCGGGGGGTTTCTATGGCGCTCATCGTTACGCGGTCATAGAATGAAATGAAGACGAGTGATCGGTCTGCAGAATACTACTGACAGCAGTAGGGAAGCAAGATGATGTGGGTGACAGGGATAAAGAAGGAAGATGATCACGACGGCTTTGTGTGGTTTTGGAAGCGTGTGAGCGGTTGTTGCTTCCCTACTGCCCTCACAGCGGATACCAGAGAATTAGTGTTGCTTGATCACAGAGCCCAGGAGACAAAAACTTGAGGCCAATCACACATGGCCTTATGGTTCGGTTCCGTATTAGAAACTTACAGCTCGACAAGGACCACCATAGGGTCTGTCTGTTTTCGACATAGAACTTTGCGCCGATGTGCGGCAGTTCAAGTCACCACACTCCCTCCTTGTATCACACAAAGCAAGAGAAGAAAGTACAAGAAAAGCATAATAGAGACAGTGAGCAGAGGTGTGAGACAAAGGAGTAGTAGCGAAGAACAAAACAGTTTCATTGGAAATCATAAGTCACAAGGAGTGGATGCATCTGCGCCACTGAGAACGATTTTGAGCCATGTCACCAATTGTTTCCAACCATTGATTTTTACCGTCCCGAGGACCCCAGCCTGGAAGTCTACACCTTCCTACGTGACTTAAACTTACTGTTGTGGATTTCATTGACTGGTGCCAAGTTTTTGTTTGACCGCCGCTAGCTTTTTTCCAGCCTGACCCTATATCCGCTAACATTGCCCATTGTCGAGGGAGGCGATGACTTGGCATACATAACACATGTCCTAACCATCTCTCTCAGTCGATGTAACTTCACGACTTCGTCGACTGATTTCCCCAGTTTACCTAGAACTCGACGCCTGCCTTCAATGTTGCTCACCTTATTATGCCACTTTACACGGGAAATAGAACGCAGGCATCTATGATCAAAGACAGCTAATCTTTTCATGTCTTCCACTCTCAGTGGCCAGGTCTCACAGCCAGCCGCCATAAAGGAGGACGGAGCGGACTGATCAGCAGTACACCCGCCCTTTGGTCGATAGTCGAACATCTCGTCTACGCCACAGACGGTGTAAACTGGCATATGCGAAACTAGCCCTCTGTATCCGTGCTGAGATTTCGTCAGAGATCAACCCGTTGGCACTGGCTGATGGTACTTCCCAAATAAGTGACGCGGTCAACGTGCTCTATGGTCGGCCTGCGAAATTTGCTATTTTTAAACTAGGCGTCGGTGTAGTCCAGTCCTGTAACATCATCTTGCATTTGGCGGGAGCGAATCGCATGCCAAACATTCGTAGATTGCTGCTCAAGGTGTTTAGAAGACTCTGCATTTTGTCAGCGTCTTCGCCTAGAAGGACTATATCGTCTGCATATTCCAAGTCAACGAGATTATTCCCTGGTAACAAGTCAATCCCTGAGTCGCTGAAGTGAGTTAGGGTTAAGTCCATTAGTACATCTATGATGAAATTGAATAGAAAAGGGGATAATGGGCATCCTTGACGGACACCACTAGTCGTCACCAGTTCAGATGACAGCTCGCCGTAAGCCCTCACCTGGCTGTATGAGTACGAGTAGAGTGCCTCAATCAGTGCAATATATTTTCTCGGGATTCCCTTTACACCCAAGCATCTCCAGAGAACTTCTCGATCGACAGAGTCAAATGCTGCCTTTAGGTCAAGAAATATAATGACTGTTGAACGCCGGTAGGAATGTCTATGTTCTACAATCTGTTGGAGGGTGAAGATATGATCAATACACCCTCTTCCTGCTCTAAAGCCTGCCTGGCCCTCTCGTGTTTGTGCCTCCCGAGCGCCACTCAATCTACGCATGATTATTGAGCCTAAGACTTTAGATACCATATTAGTCAAGCTAATCCCTCTGTGATTATCACAGGAAGACTTGTCTCCCATTTTGTGAATCGGTATAACCAATGACTTATACCAACCCGACGGGACTTCCTCTGATTCCCAGACGCTGCCTAATACCTCCAGTTAACACAGACAGTAGACTATCTCCACCGTACTTAAATACCTCTGGTTGTCCTTCCATCACATTCTGCTGTTTCGCCTCGTTTCAGATTAGTGACAGCTTTAGTAACCTCAGTTAGGGACAGAGGACCTGTGTCTATATCCCATATTCAGGGAGGTGTTGGATGTTCGGAAGGTTGAGCGTGGCTGTGGGCCAATTAAACTGCTCCTCATAATGTTCTTTCCAGCGATCCAGTTGTCTAACCTGGGAGCTAATTATAGCCAAGTGGTAAACTACAACGGGAGATGTGAGCAAACAATTGCACACGTCTTTACATAAAATGTGTTGACTTTAGCCTAGTACATTCAAGGAACCCCTGTTATCTTGTACAGGTAAGAACTGCATTATCAAAAAACTCGACTCACTTTACTCATCTGAACCGTCCGATCAATAAGGTTGACACATCTGTTGAACACAGGATCACAGTACGGTAAGAAACCTGTTCCCAGAGCAGTAGCCATACTAGAAAGGCATTCGAGTAGTGGAAATAGGTTTTTCTCGTCATCTCGTAACGCATTCCATTTTTCAAAAAGCGGAGGCATCAGCATTTCTACAAAATCCTTCAGAAAAGTTAGGGATTAATAAACGTTTACCGGTCGATTGAGATGATGACCCACAGAATCTGCAAGAGTGCCTATTGCGTCATATAAAATGAAAAGGTTTTTGTGCTGATACTGCTTCAATGCATATACTAACGTTCGTAGAATGATGTCCAGATGAGGCACAAGGTCTGTACACGCTTCTTCCTCCAGTGTCGCAAAAGCAGAACAAGCCGCTTCTTGCACGCGTTTGTTGCAATCTAAAATCCTTTTGAGAAGCTGCAGAAAGTGTAATTGGAAAGACTTCTTACCTCAATCATAAGAGGTTTAAAATAGTGCTCATGAGGTTGACCAACGATCCAGTGTGAGTACCGACTCAGTGTCCAACAGGTTATACTACGTATTAGAGGACGATCATCTGATAAACATCCAATGAGAAATGGACACAATTCTGGAAGATATGGAATCATGCCTTTCATACAACCTACACCAAGACAATTTATAACATAAATTTTTATGTACCTACCTTCTGCAATAGCCCCAAGGACCAAAATGCCTGACTCCTTTAGTTCCCATTGAGAAGAAAACAGAAGTTCTTTTGTTATCGGTAGCAATATCGGTAGGAAATCTGTATGAAATACATTGGCGAGTACATCCAGGGCGGCTGCAGAACACTTTCTAAGAGTCCAGTTAGAGACGTAGTCATCATCTTCATCCTCATCATCTTCCTGAAGATGAATACTGGAAAACTCACTACACTTACCTCATGTGAGAAAAGTTTATTCTTGGTTTTATGGAATCGAGGTCGTATGTCACATTCTTTATCAGGTACATGAGCATCTTCCTCTAAGTCATTCTACAAAATAATTATAATGCAAAAACTTACCCGAAGTAATACCATATCACTTTCAGAATATTTCATCCCATTCACTAAAACTGGTATCAGTCTTGCAATATATGGAGAAAGGGCCTGATGACACACAGGTTGTTCTGATAAGGAAAGCCAAAATTCGCACGCCTCTCTGGAAATATTTTCATCTGCTTCTTGGGTGCGCAAAAGCATAAACTTTTTTTAAATTAGCAACAAACTGTATTACCTCGATTATATGAGACAGATGAGGAAGTAATTTGTCCAAGTGAGCCTCCAGCAATTGCACGAATGCTGAGCAAACATGCCGCCGAACATTTGGGTCGCTGTCATCGGCCAAGGAGAACAAGCATTCCAGAAACTCGTTAACAAAATGTAACAGTGCCTGAGATCGACTGTGAATGAAGTGATTGATACATGCAAGAGCATGAGATCTAAAGACAAAGTGAAATGTATGGATTAGCGAATTCAGGTGAAAACTATGCAGATGGTATCAATACACTATAAACAGCTTCACTGGTTTTTAAAATATGCGTTTAGGATGACTTCACATAAAAGCACGATGAAAAAGTGATGCAGTACGGCAGCATGCCACATTAGCGATTTATGCTTTGAACCGCACCTTATGTGAGACTTTTTTACATACATGCATATAAATATATATATATACGTATTATATGTATATAAATATATATATATATACACGAAAGATTTCAGCTACCACTTTTCCTTATTTTTTAGTTGCAAGAAGGAAATTTGATGGAAAAACGAACAGTGATTATTACAAATTGCAAAACCATCGCTTCGTTTGCAACAGCTATAAGCGAAGAGTGCGCAGCTTTCTTAAGCCAGTCAGTCAACTAGCCAGTTTTCCATCTTAAAACATGTGCGACACACGAGCATGATATAAATGCCATTTTTCGTGATATACGAGGCACAATGATTCTGATTCAGGAGTCTAGTTAGCATATCACAGGGACATGTCAGCTATAATGTTGCTGTACCTGAACACACATTTGTGATTGTAATAGACAATTTCCACTGGGATACTGTTTCCCATATAACTTCGCTGTAATTGAAGAGGTAGTCCTTGCTGTGTCCATATTCGTGTGGATCTGCTAAGAAGCATAACTGTTAAATATAAATATATTTCTGAACCCATATTTTGTATAGCACACACGATTTACTACACTAAGTAGTTTATTTGCACAAAAGCGAAAACATTCATCTCATCAAGCATAATTACATCCTCATCAGGCTGACATCCATACTATGATATCTACCTACTCATTATTCAACAGAACGTTTAGTCGACTTTGGAGAGGCTACTACTCCTTTCAAAAACCCGACATGCTTTTAAATGTTATTACGTAAAATTGATAACTATACTTCAGTTGTTTACGCGATGATAATAAAACTCGTGTAAATTACTGATACATAATTTGATATATTCCACAATGCAAACTATTCACTGACAATAAGGCTGTCACGTAACTTTAGTATTTCAAGAATATCCACCTTGAGTGAGTGCCCTGATGACTACGAGCAATAATTTGCGTTCGAAACGCAATCAGTAAATATCACATTTTAACACTGTAGTTTTAACAAATTTTTTTTCTATAATGGAGTAGTATTCCACCACAGTGCCCAAGTTTTATCCTGATATCAATACCCACCTTTCCAAGTGGATAGTAAGGCATCACACAGTTTATACTAGATACTAGCACCCCTGAATCTCCCACAAAAACAAACTATATTGACTGCGAGGAACTTTGAAGTGAACTGCAATTTATGTTGCCACACTCCTAGAGCACACAAAGGTAAGGGAAAAACTATAATGAACAAAAATCTCCACCAACACAAAAAAGAACGTGGAGGATCTGGAATTCGCGGATGGTGATATATGTCTGATTTCCCACAAACTGGAAGATATGCAAGTGAAAAGCAACAAGCTGGCAGAAGGAGCATCAAAGATAGGACTTCCTTCAAATGAACATAGAGAAGACGGAGGTGATGAAGATTCCTGGCCAACACCAACAGCAACAACAACAACAGACGACAGTCAGCCTGCATAAATGGGAGGAACCTGAAAGAAACAACCTTCACCTACCCACCTACCTGGGAAGCATCGTTTCAACTACAGGCGGACGGAACTGATGAGGATATCAAAGCCAGAATCGGATAAGCAAGACAAGCTTTCATTACTCGTAAGTCTGTGTGGAGGTCAACAGCACTCAACATGAAAATGAAAATAAGATCCAATGTTAAGTCAGTGCTACCATACGGATCTGAGTCTTGCACTGCGCGTCATAAAGAGCATCTCAAACAAACTTCAGACCTTCATTAACAGTTGTCTTCGCTTAATACTCAAGATCAGATGGCCGGTCAGAGATCAGCAACAGGGATCTCTGGCAATGAGCGAACCAACACAGCAGGAACCGATTGTGAAACAAATAGGTAGGAAGAAATGGAGATGGATTGGCCATGCATTGAGAAAACCATCAAGTGGCATCACTAGACAAGCCATTGTTCCAGTGGAACCCGTTAGGGAAGCGGCGAGTTGGTCGTCAGTGTGGGGGTGACTTAGAGGAGTTTATGTGAAGAGGAGATGAAAGCGTGTGGGCAGACTTGGAGTAAGGTGAAAAAGTTGGCAAAAAACCGAAGGCAATGGAGACGCGCAGCTGAAGCCCTATGTTCCTCTAGGAATTAAAGGCCATAATAATAATATAATAATAGAGCAGTAGCAGAGGAAAAAGGATTCCAATAGATGTGGAAGATCATATGTATCGAATTTATCTTTACCAACGGTACCGATGTGTAGCTATATCAACAAGTCTGAAATGACTGCTCCACAGCTCCTTGGGGAACACAGCTAGGCAGTGCACACCACCCAACTGACTGATTTCAGCTTCTGACCTGACCACCTTCCAGGCTTCTCTAATGGTCTCCGATGTTAGCTAACATCGCCCGTCAAAGTAGGCGGTGGTACAGTACATGCAATACGTGTCCCTGGTTCAGAACCACATTAGATTTACCTACACTTTTTATCTAACCCCAACATTGTTCATCCTACTATGCCCGTTAATTTGATGAATAAGACGCAACCATCCATAGTCGACGGCTAACCTTTCTGTATTTCGACCTCTAAACAGTTACGCCCCTTTAATTAACGAATCAGTGTTGAACTTTATTTGCTGAAACCATACTGTTGAAATAAGTGTAAAACACACGCATAGAGCAGAAAAACTGGTGTGACCACGTGATACCTAAACGAGATCATATTACATACAAATGCAATGAAGTACGCAAATATCCAGCAAGTTTATGAAAACAAAACATGAAGTCCTATGTCAGTACTAGGGAATCTTAAAAAGACAACACAATCCTAAGCCTCATCGCGGTACTAAAGCCGATGCTTGACAGGCCCCTCTGATTGAAAACATTTATTTCCCGATACGAATTTAAAACAAGCAAAAGGTTAATAAAGCAGGATTTAATGAATTCATCGAACTTCGGTAGAACTTGTCAGCTGAACACTACATACACGGATATATACTCTTCAAATTACTTTGAGAGATATAAGACTGAGTTTGTTTACTTATCAGTTTACCCAAAATTTAATGAATTCAATAAATCCTGCTTTATAAACCATTATTGGATTTTTAGATCCCACGATGATGGACATTACGGGATACATCTGATGATAATCAAACAAGCCCAAGCAATAATGTACAGAGTTAAATCATGATGAAGCAATTCAATGAACAAAATGTAAGCATAACGCACCTGATTTTAGGACTATCGTGTCTGGCGTATTGTAGAAACTTAGACAGCAATAAGGCCATCGGACAACCGATAGGATCACCTTCCAACTGTGATGAAGAATCTTCACATATTTTCTCGATTGCGCCAAAAGCACCCTAGAAAGTTCGACAGAATGCTTTAACAAACCTCCATGAAATTAATATCATGCGAATCAATACATTCGACCAACTTCGGAAGTAACTCTGGCCAGTTTTGAAGGCCATCACTTGTTACAATTGTAGTAATAAGAATACCAACAATTGACCTAATCATAGGTGAGCTATCGCTAACGCACCGCAGGCACGCATCTTTGATGTAGCATATTAGCTCAGGGGGACACTTTTTGAAGTGACTTTTGAGGTTGTTCTTTAAAATAAGACCACTGAGAGAACGCGTACTATCGCCTGCAGAAGATAAAAGGTAAACTGACGACTTACTTTCGGAAGCAGCACTCGTCAATATGAAGGCTAAGTATTTGTTAAAATCAGGGACATTATTCAACTCATTTAACTTCTAAAAGAATCGACTAGAGACAATCCACAAACCTCATGCACAATCTTTTGGACACTGGTGTCTGATGACTGGGAATTACGCAGCAGATCCAGTGTCTGCCTTATACCATCCTCATCGGGTAACCAGCTCATAATTAGTGATTTCGCGGGTAACTCCTCAAGCGGTTATACAAACAATGTTACATGTTCAATCCACATAGGGCCAAAAGTTTCAGTTAACGGATAATTTAGTAGATTCAACATGATGAAGTATTCGCTTCCTTAAAACTTCAAAGTTGGTAATAGTGATTCGCGGTCGGGGTAAAACAGAAGACATGAGTTGCTAGCGAATGGCGGACTTACTAGAGACTTATGCCCATAGTGCTAAATCAAAAGGATCACTTGACTGAATTTTCAAAGTATCCTACTTGTTTGCAATTATATTCTGATATATACTGTGAAGCTGATGGAACAAATCACGTCTTTCTGTAAAAATTAATTGTGAACGCAGTAGAAGAGACATGGTACAGAACAATGCGGATCCATTTTACATCCTGTGCTCTCTTTGGCTACACACAGCCTATGACATTTAGACACTGAGAACAAAAAAGAATAAGTCCCCCAGTTAGCATAGAATTGTGAAAAAACATGAGTGCCTTGAAGTATTAATATGTATCTCTTGCACGAACGATGTTACCCCTAAAAACAAGACAAATCTGTTGTTAGGGATGGCAACATATCAAAAATCCCCCTTCAGCCAATTTTGTCTTTTCCTCACGAAATGAAACTTATTTTTGCTGAGCACAGTTAGCATCTCGATCTGAATGCTTTTATTTATGGACGAAACTCAACATTTTCAGTCTGTAAACCTACGTAGAAACTCTCAAATCATTGGTACAGATTTTGTCTGCCTACCACCACTCGATGATTCCCACTCTGACTAAATTGAGAACAAACTCTGAGGTGGTGGGAAAAATAATATTCATACAACAGAGCAAAATGTACACACCCGAAAGATGTCATTTGTCAATTACAACAAAAAAGCTGTGAGTTATTTGGAAATCAAGCCTGCTCAGCTATCAGGTCCCAGGGTGAAAAGTTCCAAAGTAAAAGAACCTCTGTAGAATTCCTACGCATAGGAGGTGCAAATGATATATCAAGCAAATTGAAGTTATCTCCAATCATACTATAAGGGAAGGGAAGATGGGATGCAACATTAAATTTGTTGCTGAGTACATTATCGTATTCGCGGTTGGATGATGGCGGTTGGGATATACAATCTATAAGGACAGATTTTTAACGTAGAATAACAGATTAGTTATGGGGTGTCAAAATAAATAGTCGTATTTGTGTGTGTGTGACAAACGTGCTAGGCTGAAATCGATTAGAAAATATTGTAAAACTGGAGAAAATGGTGATGATTGATCATAATAGATTTGTAGAGTGTGGGGTAGGAAAATTGACAAATCAGTTCAAGGTTATCGGTGTCAGGTGAGTGGCTAGTACAAAGCGGTCTGTCTTAAACAGGAGATAGTAAGACTGCAATGAGGGGTTCAGAATGAAATAAAAAATATGATAAATGAAACAGGTGGAGGCATATATTGAGAAAACAGATAACATCACTAATAATAAGTCCGTATAAATGAAAAATTCTATAGTATTGAGGGAATGTTTGCATAAAGAGCGTGAATTATGATGAATAGTAATAACTGTAATAATAAGTAAAGTAAAAAAGCCAAGAGGGTTAAGGGGATGGAGGTTTCTTGATGAGAAGAAAAATCATCAATCCAAGTTTGGCCACGGTAGAAACAGCGTCTGGACGTGTTCTTTGCGGATACAAAGTTCCGGTTTAGTCGATCTTATTGCAAAAGCTTCAGCTATGTGTAGGAGATGTAAGCAAACTATACGTGATAACGACCACAAATTTTGTATTTTTAATTGTAAGAAATTATTGAAAAGAATATTCTTTGTCCAGATCCTATGAGGACAGGTTTACTTCTGAGAACTTTTATTTCGATCCACGCCGAGTCATTAGGTTGTGACTGAATAGGGTGACTAAAATGCGTTGGACAAATGGGTTGTACAACATATATAAGTGTTCCGCCCCCACGACCTGTTTCTCTATCCCCTCGAAAAAGATTGTACTTATCAATCCATAAGCTATCATCCGTAATATCACTTGAGCACCAGGCTTCAGTGATCATGATCAATAACGGATTGCATATAGAGGCTAACGTACATAATGCCAAGTATTTATTGAGAACTGATCTGGCATTTATGGGGATGACGGATAGACTTTGACTACGTGGTTATAGTGTATGGGCGATATCGTATTAAAATACTTCATGATTATCCAATGAATACGTGCAGTCGTCATCGGACTCATTAATTGCAACTTTTTGATCACTAGAGACGTTTTCTTTAATTTGATACTTAGGGATGGGTTGTGAGAAGTCACTCGTGCGTAGTTGGTTGTTTAGATATTGCGTGCCATGAGAGACGCTAGTATGATAATCTAGAGTATTACTGTTGGTATTGGGTGTGTATAAGGTGTTTGCTGTCTGCCGGGGAAGAAGCAGTTTCCCTGTTGTATGGTGTTCGCTATACCAGCAAGGAATCTGTCTTATATCATGCGTGCTACGTGCATGATCTCTGGCGTTTTGCCAGTTGTCGCTGGAGAAAATTTTGGTCATATGAGTTAGCTAGAGCCGTGGAATCTGCATGGTTATAACCGAAATGTGTGATCGGCGTGTTGCTGTGTGTATATGACTTAGATTCCTGTGTCTGGTTAGAGTACTTCCTTGGCCATGATGAGCATTGTGCTGCAGGTGGCATGTTTCCCCTACTGAAGGCATGAGAAGTATGACAGGGCACCTAATGTCTGTATTCTCAGACCGGTGTTTCCTGCGCATCATGGTTGAGGGTGCATTCGTGAGCGGCTGAGCAACTTCATGTTCTCGAAGTGGTTGGGGAAATATGTGACAATTGTTTTTTGCTGTCATAGGACTGTCAGTGGAAGTCGGAAATGATTAAGCTCCTATGGTATGTGAATTATGTTTAACTTGAGAAACATGACTAAGTTTAGATGACTGTCCATCTGTAGAATAAGCCGGGGACCCTTTTCAAACTTTCGTACTTGTGGGCTCTAATGTTCCGGGTCTACCGTTCGGTTTAGGTTTTTCCATATTAGTCGGTTTGTGTAATTTCGGCTGCTGGTGAATAGTTGGATTCCTTGATAAACTGGAATTCTGATGAGTAGTCTCAACAGTTCTTTTTGTGTTCCTTACGAAAATAGGAAGTTTATCATATCGCCTGGAATCAACGCCAACCTATGTGGCCACATGTGATTGCTGCTGCACAGTAGCCGCGCTAAAAGGTTGTACGGTAAAAGACTTCCGGAGAGATCCAAAGTGTACAACTGAATTCAGCTTAGACTTTTTCGAGGGTTTGGAATTCGTGCCAGTATGATCGCGATGCACGTCAATGCTACGATCTGTTGACATTTCTATGCCTGCGATTTCAGTATTTAAAACTGAGTCTTCAACAGTTACTTGACTACTGTTAGTTTTTGCATGCGATATTATTGTGCGTCCGTGGCACAGTGGTTAGGACTCTTGCCGAACATGAAAATTGTCCGAGGTTCGATCCGCTGCCGACGTACACCTAATATCTATGGTCGGCCTGCGAAATTTGGGACATCGATATCCATGCTGAAAATTCCATACTTGTACCAAAAATACAGTGTGGAATCAAGCTGTAATCAGGTCATTAGGCAATACAACGAGAGAAGTATAAACAACGGTTGTCTTATTGGGGTTATCTTCATTTAGTTTATCTGCGCGGCATCGTCTTTGGCAAGAAGTTAAATCAGGTACAATCTCGATATTGCTGTAGGGTGCTGAGGAGCCAAGAATTTTACAAGACTCCAAAAAGTTCTTAGCTAGGTCAACAGACTTAAATTTGAAGAGAACACGACATGGGTGATTTGCAGATTTCTTACGAAGACGCAGAACCTGGCAGTCAGACACTGAAGTGTTACACGTCTGTCAATCACGTCTCATAAACCGTTAATGCCCAGCTCTCGCTACGCTCGGGCTCACGCTGTTCTTCGAAGATTTCGGAAACGCTTAGTTATAACGGACGAAAAAACCAAAACACCGATCTGCCGCTTGAGATTTGTTTATTGTTACACCAACATATAAAAGGAATAAGCGAACTAAGGTTTCTGACGATGTTTCACTCTTCTTTCTGAACAGCGATCGATGAGACGATGACTGTCGTATTGATGCCTCCGCGAAAATTGGTGAAGTTGATTTTAAGCAAACAACCAAGAATTGATCGTTCAATCTTCAACTACATTGACAACGTCTGTGGACAGATTGCTTTAAGTTTGACAATAGGGGAATTGTCTGGTATGTTATATCCTAAGACATTATATGAGGACATGACCCTCTTTACAGCCTCTGCAATCAAAAAGTCTAGCAGGCGCTCAGATTTGAGAAATGAGTCTAGGCAAATTTCTTGCGATGGATCACAAAGTTGGATGAAAAGAGTGATACTTTCAAATTTATCCTGCAGGTCTGTTATGCATTTCTGAAGGCTATTTAGATCACTAGTGTTACGGGCTACGTTATCGACTAGCTCTTCCACTAAGTTTGATACTATAACTCCTGGTGTATCGATTGATCTTAGTGCAAATTCATCGTCAGGACTAATGTTTTTAGTGACTTGCTGAATATTTGATGCTACTCTCTTAACAGTACTAACTCTTTTAATAAATTTGAATATTATATAGGTAAAGATTATATTAATTTTTCAAAAACTGATAAGTGTGTGAAATGCCGTTATATTATCAAAATAGAAAAAACCGATAAACAGGTATGAATGCATAAAATACAAACCAAAATTAGACCAACATCAAACGAGTTAACTCTGATAATTGTAAACCATAAAACTAAAAAATTCTCCATGGTTGCTTTGTGATAGATTGCTCTTTAGCCTCAAGAATTTGACTGGATACAAGCTGTCAGCCACGTCTCGTAAACCGTTAGTGCCCAGCTCTTGATACGCTGGGACTCACGCTGCTCCTCGAAGCTTCTCAGAAACGCTTAGTACGAACGGACGCAAAAACCAGAACACAGATTGGCAACTCG